TCAGCTGCTCCTCTCGGCCATCATCGGAGCTCTGAGACGGAGCCAGGCGGGACCCAGCCTCCTGAGCTTCACAGCACGGGAGGTGGAGGGGGGTTTCGGCCTGAATTTCACCTGTGAGAAGGAATGAATGGGAAAACGGTAACGGTTATTTGTGGTGGTGCTTAGATGGTGATCTGCAATCGTCTGACCACAAATGAATAAACGCTACCCAATATGAGTCGGACAGTGGTCAGTGGAGCTTGTACCCACAATCGGCACTATCGAAGTTTAGGTCTTCGATGGCCATTACGTTTTCTCTCTTACTTGTCGCTATTGTAATTCTTACGACCAAAAGATGCCGGGTGTAATAGAGCATAAGTTTAAGGTTAAATAGCTACATCAAATTTCTAGACGTGACATATTTCAGAGAGAAAAAAATTATTGTTGGAAATACCTTATCCCGCGCACCGACGGGGGTCTACGCCAACTTAGTACCGACGGGGGGGGCGGATGACCGCCCCCCCCCTGAGATCTCGAGAACAAAGCAAGATAGCGACAAGCGGTAAACGGCATGGGATACGCACGGACAAGCTCTACGATTTTTACTAAGGTCATTTTCAGGTCAGGTCAAAGATGACGTCACAGGGGTCAAAAAGTCAAAACGGCGGCGCTAGATATGGAGAGTTGTTCTCGAATAACTTTCGAACTAGTCAAGATACTAAGGGTATCACCGTGATCCTCTCGTTAATCCGCATCGAATGATATATATGTTGACCTCGAAAGGTCAAGGTCAAAGGTTGACCTTAGGTCACGTGACCTCGAGGTCATCATGTATATCATTCGATGCGCTTTGACGAGCTGAACACAATGAGACCATCCGCGCGGCTGTATCTTGTTCCTGTACGGAGTTATTGGCAAAAAAACCTTTGGTGACCTTTGATGACGTCACATGACCTTAGAGCTGCCCAACAGCAAAACAGACCACAAGGTAGTAAAGGTTGATCGTATATGAAGTCATGTATGGTTTATGGGGCCATTCCGATCCGTTTTAGTGGTAAAAACTGGGAGTTGATTTTTCCCCCATTGACTTACAATGGGGAGGTCGAGAAATTGACCTGACCTTAGGTCATCGATATCAAAATTCCGAGATAAACAAATTGTAGCTACTAATGACCTTATAACATCCTGCGACTTTCAAAAGCCTCCGACATCTACTGTAGCTCTGGGCTCTGGCACGGTGACAAAGTTGCAAAAAAGTGACTTGAGATTGGGTCATTCAAAATAACCTGGTGACCTGACCTTAAAAGTTAAGAGGTTCAAACTGGCACACCATGTGTAAAATTGATGAGAGAATAGTCGTACCAAACTTCGCGGCGCTACGCACCGCGGTTTTCCCGCTATCTGCGAAAAACCTCAAGGGGGGGCGGATATCCGCCCCCCGTCGGTGCGCGGGTTATGCTGCAAGAACAAAGTGGATGGAATGGTTGAACATAAGCGGCTATATTAAAGGAACCCATTGTAAAAGTAAAGCAAAAGGCTTTGTGCGTAAATAAGTCAAAAGGCTGACTAATGCCATATGATTATGTTGGATGTCTCATGATAAACCATTTTGCTTGGATGAAGCAAAAACGTCTTGCTTCACTTCATCCAAGCAAAAACGTTTATCCTGGCCAATAGAGCTCTAGCTATCACACCACTTAGTTTGCTTCCAAAAATTTACGTCTATCCTTATCATTCTTGGGATATATCATATGATGCAACTGGGTTATCACCAGTCCCATTCGGCCCTCCGCCGGCGGTGACGACGCTATTGGCGCCCGTACACCGGTCTCCAGCGCCTCAAGGTCCGTCCCTCCGGCCCGGGAAGGTCAGCCCATCATCGGCTCAGCCGGCTGGCCACTTTTCTCAGAAGCCGCTAATGCTGCAGAGTTGGCAGAGCTGCTCAATGTCCAATCTCACCATCTAAAGCTGACGGTGATCTCACGCCGTTCAGGTAGATATGATGGTGCTTTATGTGCAAAAGATCCCTCAGAAAGCATCTGGGCTACGTAAGAGCAAATCGACTTATTTCTAACTTCAGCGTTTCGGTTGTAGCAACGGGAATGTACAGATGTGTATATTTGAATGTTACGCAAGAAGTCGTCAAGTTATGTTGCTATAAAAGGTTCAGGCTAGTGTCAAAGTTGGTTCTCGTAATTCGTTTGTTTTTACTTTTGAGCTTGTCATTTTTGTCATTTGTTTTTTTTTTTGTATTCGGTGATCATGGCCTCTTGCTTGCTTAAATTGTTACCCTTTCACGCTGGAAATATTTCTTCGCTGCAGATATGGCATTTTATTTGAAGCATTTTTAATTTGTCATTTACTTGAAGTGCAATCATCAACAACAACCAGTCGCATATCAGTCATTTGTTTGACGTCCTCAAAGCTAATAGTTCTTTATCTTAGAGAATCGCTATATTCTGGCACAGTTGGGATGCATAGCTGACATGCTTCCTCGTCCAAGGTCGGTTCCAGCGACCACTCTGCCATAATATGTCCTCGGAACAGGTAAACGATGGTCTCCCCGCTCAGTGGAGATCTCTCGGAATGTGGCCTTTTGTGTGACAGTTATTACATGATCGGAATGACAGTCAGCTTACTGAAAAAGTTGATAAAAGTTGATTTCATGCATCATGCAGATGAAAACTAAACAGATCACAAGCTCCATAATTTTAGTTATGCTAGAGGGACGATATTTTTCCATAAAATGCACTCATTCGAAAACTTGCATTAAAACGCTCATGTGCTCACCTACATATTTAATGCAACGTTTTTCCGTACAAATGGAAGTAAATGCTCCGAAAAAATAAAAATGCATCAATGTCCATTGTGCATTACGCTCGCAAAGCCATTTTATGACAAAGAAACAAAGCATTAGTAACTTGCTCACTCGTATTTGGGGAATGGAAAAACACAAGGTGGCATTGCGTTAAAACCGCTACGCACAGATGACTCTCACAATTCGTCGTGGCAACTTTTATCTGACCCAATAGTAGACTTATCTCTGGGAATTCTTACGCTGCTTTGAAGATATGCTCATTTCCGCTAAACCGCATAGAAACAATCGAAGGTAGATGGAAAGAACCTATAGGAGAGAGAAGCTAGTTGGCATTTCGCTGAATGGCATGCAGTCAACATTTCCAAGACAAAACACGGATCCTTGGTAAGACTCGTAATGATATCCACGGGAATATCGCACCAGAGGGTATCTGAAGCACGCTCTCTCGCCACACTGCAAAGGTGCGGTTTATACCACAACACTTTCCGGTATGCCTATTGTGTCCGACTCAGTCAGCGGAAAGGGTGCGACTTTGTAGGCTAGATGGTAGGATTGTTTCAACACTTAAGTCGAAGCAAAGGTCATCCTAGGTCACTTTATTCATAAGTTCTGCGGACTACAGGTGTTAAGATGAACTGAAGTGCTGCTGTCTTTGCGGAAATTATTGGTTATCCAATATGATATCCGATATCCGATATCAGATACCTATCCAGCAGCTTTTAAACGGTGACCGAAGAGCTGAAAGCCGCAAATTTGTCCTGCAATCTGTCCCCTTCCCCTAGTACGACGAATGTCAAGCAAACAACGCTTATGCTGCCCAGTAGCGGCGGAACACCTGCAATTAAGGGGGGGGGGGGCACCGCCGACTTTTGGTCCCATTCTTTCCATGCAACGCCCATAGGGCTAATGTTAAAATGCCAAAATCAAAGGGGGGCACGGTGCCCCGGTGCCCTCCCCGTTCCGCCGCCTATGATGCTGCCTATAAAATGAAAACCTGAGCCCTCCCACAGTTGAAACTTGCCCCACCAATGGTGTCTGGAACCGAGTCTCGGCACTGCCGTCTGAAGGCTTGACAACCTAATCCGCGACGATGGCCGTTTGACGAGATATACGCCCACAATCTCCCAAGAATCCCAGCGACATGCATACTGTGCGGCGTGTCGCAACCGTCCCTGTATTCACAGCGACTCGACTATGTGATCTGAACATGGATCGTGCCCAAAGATAGACATAAACCCAGTCGAGATAAGCCAATAACTTGTAGCTATTGTCATTCGATTTTGATTTGTATGCAGCATGCAACGAGATTAACGGATATCAAAGTGATGGTTATTTGATGTAAATTTATCAGGCGACTCAAAAATGAAAAGATAAAGAGAAAAGTTGAATCAACTTTATGTTGGCTCCACCTGCTATGGCTGAACTTCTTCAACAAATGTCCACAAAATATTGCATCTTCTACGGTACATTTTTTGTCTGCTGTTCAACAAGTTTTGCATGCTGGCACACCCATTTATTGCAAATTGAACTTGACACGAACATTACTATTGACTATCCTTCTTGTCTTGTGACATCTTGATCGGTCTTGTGACGTAGACGTTGACTCTTACTCTCTGTCGTCTTCGCTTGTTATTTTAGTCTGTCGCCTTTTTACCTACACGGTAAAAAGGCTTGTTGTACTTGCACGGTCACTGGTTTTTCACCCTTCATCCCCAGCCAACATTTTGGCAGCCATTACGGGCGTTAGAGCCACATTCGAGTCCACTAATCCAGTGATGAATGGCCACTTAGACCCGGTGGAGGCTCTTGCTGGGATCCTGGAGGCCGCAGCAGGACGGCGTACCGGACATAACGCTACTCCCAGGCCTCTATGTAACTCATTTGTCGTGTCGTTTACTTCACCGCCGAGCGGAATCCATGAGATAGGAATAGAATATTAATATTTTTCGAAACCCATGAATTAGTTGCTTGTTCGAAAGTAATGCAGCTTTTTATTATCGTTAAGATAAACGAATTCGAAGTGCCTCGAATCATTCGAGGCACTTTTTACATAGCATCCGATGCAGTTAAGTCACAATTTCAAATACTCTATCCGTCGTGAGTTGGCAAAAATGGCACGGTCCTATCTCGTAGGAAATGGTGGGAACATGGCCAGCCTGGTGCAGATTACTTCAATTAAAACGCTGCGGGGTGCGTAGTTCGGCCCACACTCGTCAGTTTCGTGCTCGCTCGCACCTGAAGCTCCCCAGTTCGCTCACGATGCAGTTCGCTGTTCTGTTCTCGATGGTGGCTGCGGCCTCGGCTGTCCAGTACCCGCTGCACGCCTCTTGCAAGGCCGACTGGTAAGTCCGAGTGTTTCTGTGTGCAGGGAAAAACGAATGATATTTTAAATCTTTAAATGACCTAGGGCCTCACCCATTGGTATCAAACACTTTTAAGGCAAGTTAGTTAGCGATGGAAAACATTGAAAGGTCGTTATTACGGAGTGAGCGAAGCGAGCGTAGTCTTTCCTTAGATTAACGGAAATTTCTGAGTATGAGCGGCCGGCCGGCCGTCCGTGCGGACGCTTTTGCGAGGCTTATATCTCAGCAACCACTTGACCGATTTACATGCGGTAATTTTTGTAGGGTAGCTTCATTCCTTCTACCAAGCATTGGACTATTCCCGATTCATGTGGGTTCGAGTGTTTTGATCGATGACGTTTTGTTTATTATGTTATGTTCTAAGCAACCTTTTAGTACGTATAGAAGTCTATGACATGTGTTTTTGGTGGACACGCCTGTCATCTGAGTTTTATCCACATTCATTGTATGTATAATGTTTTTTATCAAGTGTCAATAAACTAACTAACTAACTAACTGGGTGACCCCTTATGCACGTGCCACGTGCAAAACGAAGAGGTGTCAACTTTGTAACAATGGCAATATCTCGGTAACTACTGGGCCCATTGCGCTGAAAGTTGACATGTAGGTAGGCATCCACTAGGCACTGCATATCCATGTGCCAGAATTGGGGTGCTGCTGCACGTGCGCACGTGCAGGGGTCGTTTCCAGATCTCAAGAACGGCTGGACCGATGGCGCTCAAATTTGGTACACGGTGAGGGACCAGTTAGTAGGGTGCCGTGCACAAGTCATTTGGGACCCATTTTGCACGTGCGCACGTGCAGGGTGCCGCTTCCAGATCTCGAGAACGGCTGGGCCGATTGTGCTCAAATTTGGCACATCGCTAGAGACCGGTCAGTAGGGTGCCGTGCCCAAGTCAGTTGGAGGTACCCCCTCGAAATTTCGCACGTGCAAGGCTCACCCTCTCGCTCGCTCCGTTAGTCGCCCCAAAAGGCGTTATACTGGTAATAGTAGGTTGAAAGGTTGTTATAGTAGCCAAATATTTATTTACCTTGCATTGTTTCATCTGGTTTATGCCATTGTTACAAGGCGGTTGTAATGCATCAAAATAGCTCGGAAAAATATGGGAATAAACCGACGTAGAGTATCTCAGCTTGTCTACATAGCACACGCTCATGATGCTTGACAGACAATTTAAGCATCATGATGACAATACTGACCCTCCCCTCGCCCCCAGGACGTTCGGCGTGACCTGCGAGGAAGCGAAGCAGGCCATCATTGACCAGATGAACGCCTGGACCGGCCCCGAGGGCTGTGCCGACGGCGGAGAAAAGTGCCTGTATGAGGTGAGATAGATGAAGAAAAGTGGCGGTATGATGGGAGATAGATGGAGAAAAGTGCCTGTATGAGGCGAGATGGACGGAGAAAGTGCCTGTGTTACTAACAGTGTTAGGTGAGATAATGGTAAGAGAAGTCTCTGAATGAGGGGAGATGAACGGAAATGATATCCGTATTAGACTAGATTGACGGGGCAGGCGAAACTGTCGGATATTTTCGACGGTGGGGAAAAGTGTCTTTTCTGTAAAACAATCGCCATTATTCCAGGTGCTGTCGACCGACGGTAACGTTGTGACGGGCACCCACACGACCCCTACTGTCGGCTACGTGGACGACCTGGAGTTCACCTTCACCGATGGAGCCGACGGCACCTGCGCCATGCACGTGAGTTCAACTACAGGGAAATGACGTCACTGTACACACCTGAGTGACGCTGTAAAATGACGTCATGGTGCACCTGACTAGAATACTTATCGCGTGGAATCGCTAACTGTAAAGACGCACAGTGGATAAAACATATAAGAAGTGAAAGATGCTTTCCGACCGTTCAGACAATCTTGAACACGTTTCCGCTCTTGCTCTAGGGTTTCTCGACCTCGGAGACCTCCTACGCCTACCTGGACTCGAGCACCAACTACTGCAACATGAAGAACCTCATCACCGGCTCTGGTCTGGACCAGTCCGAGTCCTTCAGCGAGGTCACCAACGACGACATCTGCACCCAGTACTCGTCCGCCAACTGCGACGTCTACTAGGGCGGCCAAAGTGCAATGTCACTGTGTGATTTCGGCTTAGTTTGTGGTACTCAGTGATCTTTTTTGTTGTTTTAATAAATGACAATTTACTAGAAGTGACGTTGATTTTTCATGTCTGCCTATGACCTATGGGTTTACTTGCACCACGATGAGCAACAATCGGCATTTGCTGCTCGATAAAAAGCAGACTTTTTGTATGGTTATGGGTGGCACTCCAACGTCATTCTTAACCCGCGCACCGACGGGGGGGGGGCGGATATCCGCCCCCCTGAGGTTTTTCGCGAATAGCGGGAAAACCGCGGCGCGTAGCGCCGCGAAATTTGGTATGACTATTCCCTCATCAATTTTACACATGGTGTGCAAGTTTGAACCTCCTACCTTTCAAGGTCAGGTCACCAGGTCACTTTGAATGACCCAACCTCAAGTCACTTTTTTGCAACTTTGTCACCGTGCCAGAGCTACAGTAGATGTCGGAGGCCTTTGAAAGTCGCAGGATGTTATAAGGTCATTAGTAGCTACAATTTGTATATCTCGGAATTTTGATATCGGTGACCTAAGGTCAGGTCAATTTCGCGACCTCCCCATTATAAGTCAATGGGGGAAAAATCAACTCCCTGTTTTTACCACTAAAACGGGTCGGAATGGCCCCATATACCATACATGACTTCATATACGATCAACCTTCACTACCTTGAGGTCTGTTTTGCTGTTGGGCAGCTGTGAGGTCATGTGACGTCATCAAAGGTCACCAAAGGTTTTTGGCCAATAACTCCGTACAGGAACAAGATACAGACGCGTGGATGGTCTCATTGTGTTCAGCTCGTCAAGACGCATCGAATGATATACATGATGACCTCGAGGTCACGTGACCTGAGGTCAACCTTTGACCTTGACCTTTCGAGGTCAACATATATATCATTCGATGCGGATTGACGAGAGGATCACGATGATGCCCTTAGTTTGTTCCTATCTTGACTAATTCGAAAGTTATTCGAGAAAAACTCTCTCCATATCCAGCGCCGCCATTTTGACTTTTTCGACCCCTGTGACGTCATCTTTGACCTGACCTGAAAATGACCTAAGTAAAAATTGTAGATCTTGACCGTGCGTATCCGATGCCGTTTACCGCTTGTCGCTATCTTGCTTCGTTCTCGAGATCTCAGGGGGGGGGCGGTCATCCGCCCCCCCCCCGTCGGTGCAAAGTTGGCGCAGACCCCCGTCGGTGCGCGGGTTAATGAAACGGTTCAGATTTAAAAGGCATTCGTCTGCCTTGTCTAGCTGATGAATACCGAGTGTCTCAACAAAACAGACAGTTTCATTTTCCCCCTAAAATGTCTGGTAATATAACAATATAAAACGGCAAGCAGTTTTCTGCATACCGAAGCGCGCGAGCACGACCTTTGCCGATTCGCCCTAATCTGAGTTAGGCTCTTACGAGAAAAGAAAATCAATTCGTTCCAAGACGCAGCAAATAGTGTCCAAATTTCATATCTCAAATCGACGAAGACCTCTGAGCTCAAAAAGTCAACAGTCCAAAATACGTGATCCCTAGTTTTTAGTAAAAAAGGCAAAATAATCGCAGAGCAACGTTTTAGGCACCACATCGTTTTCCATATCCAGCTAAGTCGAATGATGTACTTTTTGCTTGAAAAAGCCAACTTTGGTATTGACCAACTTTGGTCATTGTCAGGTCATAACCCGTAAGGTCAGGAAGCTGCTCGACTACAGTTATGCCGATATAAAGCCGGTCCTGTAGCTCCTTCGGTAGTGCATTGGACTCCGCGTGGTGACAGCACGCGCCCCGGTTACAAAAGTCCGAAGCTCGAGGGCGCCCGATGTTCATGAATTGAACCTCCTGGCGGGTATGGTTGCGGTTGGTGGCAGCCCGTAGCCAGACGAAGTCAGTGAGGGAACCGGCCGTACGCAGCTATGTGCGTACGCTGAATTTCGGACTCGAACTTCTGCCATGGACGGTGGGCCAGGAATTTCGCGATGGGAAGGAAGATGGCAGGACCAGCGCAAGCTCCGCTTAGCGGAGGCTCTGTCAGTGTGAATCCTTCAATTCAAAAGGCTCGGACTAAACTTATTTGAAAAAAAATGAGAGCTTTGAGTTTTAAAATACACAAAATAGTATCGAATCGTGCAAGTAGGGTATGGAAACATATGTATCAGTGCTTGAGATAATACAAGACTATATGTATTCAACAATCAACGCCACGATATCAGAAGCAATTTTATTGCCTACATATTTCTTCAAAGCAAGTTCCCGAGCCTATGCCTTACAACTTACGCATCATATAATTTTCAGAAGGGTCAACTGAGCTCACGTAATAGACCTGACCTCACGTGGCACTTCTAGATATGTCATTAGGTACACGAGTTCTAAGGAATCGATAGTTCGCTTTTTTCTCCTTGAAAGCTTCATCTCTCTCTCTCTCTCTCTCTCTCTCTCTCTCTCTCTCTCTCTCTCTCTCTCTCTCTCTCTCTCTCTCTCTCTCTCTCTCTCTCTCTCTCTCTCCCTCTCTCTCTCTCTCCCTCTCTCTCTCTCTCTCTCTCTCTCTCTCTCTCTCTCTCTCTCTCTCTCTCTCTCTCTCTCTCTCTCTCTCTCTGTGAACGATTCCGTGACTTATTGACGGTCACGGTGTTGCGAAGTTTTGTAACGTTTTGGACCGTGTGGGTATAGGTAAGTGACTACTTCTGACTTCACTAGTCATTGACCTGACCTGGCATTGCACTCACTACGATTGAATTCAAAAGATCTGTTTTTTTTCGCCTCATTGAAGCCTACAATGAAGCCTACAGGGGGAGGGGGGCGAAACGCCCCCCCCCCTTGTCCTTTTTCCGTTGATATCTCCTAAACGGCTGGAGATATCGTCACCAAACTTTCATGACCCCTTCAGGCATCAATTATGCACATTGTGACCGAAAATTTTACCAGAGGCGGTGATAGGTTGGCCACAAATGACGTCAGAATGACGTCATGTTCTGCCATTTTCGACCGAAAAAAAACCTTCGCGAGAAGAGCTGTCAGGCCTACAGCTTTGAAGATGCAAAAAAAATGATCAGACATAAGAGGTGTAGAATTGACAGGGCTACAAAACTGCTATCTTGGATTTTTGAAATTTTTGATTTTTGACTCCCAAAAATCAAAAAAGCATTTTTTTATATATTAGTCACAACCCCAAAAAAAAATTTTGACGAAAAAAAACGGATTATATGTGATAGTACCTACCGTCTTCTATCTACATACAAAATTTCAGATCGTTATCTCGTTTTTTGGCCAAGTAATAGCGAAAACAACTTCAAAAATGATGACGTCAAATTTTCACACTCAATTTTTGGCAATTCTAGACCAGGTAGGGCAAAACAAAGACCACCATTAGACTCCCCGTGGCCCGTGACGAGTTGCATCGAATCAATACCCATTTTATGCAAAAATATCAACTTTAAAATTTGACCTAATTTGACCTGACCTTGACCTGACCTTCACCAAAACGGGACCTTAGCTGGCCCCAAAGGCTGCCTGACCCACATAATCGCATTTGTCATGTAAAATGGACCATAAAACATGTATCACACCACACTTACATATTGTGACCCCCAGTGACCTGACCTATGTGACCTGAACTGGTATCAGTGACCTCAGATAGCAAAGTATGTGTTTGACGAGCAATGTACGATCGATGGTTTTCAATAACTTACCAATTTATTCGATTTCACAACACATTTCTTGAAATGCCTGTGAACGGTGAAAATCCGACGTTTGACCTGACCTGTGACGTCATTGGTTTGACCTAATCAATGAAATTTGGTCACAAGGTAGTTCCCCGGTAGGGCTATCGAACGCCGTTTTGATTTTGGAAATCGGCCGGTACGGTTCCGAGATCTTAGGGGGGGGGCGTTTCCCCCCCCCCCCCACGGGTGGTAGGGTCCGCCGATTAGCCCTACGGGGCGCGGGTTAATTGGGTAATGGGTATTTTCTCCCCCAGCATAATTTGAAGGATGATGCCGTGGGCTAATCAAAGGGCGATTGCTGATTGTCTCCTTCGGTGCTTGCCCTTAGAACACACAATTTGTCGGGAAGTCCCCTCGGATTCAGGAAAATGCAGTCATTCATAATATACAGCCAACATATTTAAACACATTTATTGAGCAGAACATTATCAGAGGTATCTATCGTTCAGTACCTAATAATTTAACAAAAATCAGTCAGTGATCTGACAAAGGCGACGTCAATTCATTCCCCTAGTAGACGTCGCAGTTGGCAGACGAGTACTGGGTGCAGATGTCGTCGTTGGTGACCTCGCTGAAGGACTCGGACTGGTCCAGACCAGAGTCGGTGATGAGGTTCTTCATGTTGCAGTAGTTGGTGCTCGAGTCCAGGTAAGCGTAAAACGTCTCCGACCTAGAGTAGCCCTGGAACATAGCGAAATATCCAGTCAGCGATACAGCATAGTTAGGCATGTAAGCACTCAGCGTTGTAGTGTCTACACCGGTGACATTGCACGCTACAGAACACACTGCGGTTGACTACATGTAGGCTAAGTTCTCTGTCCAGGTGAAGTAAAAAAAAAAAACAGCGTAAAAGATACATCAATAATAATTAGTTAGGTATTTGGAAAAAATATTGAAGCACCGTTTGTTCTATGAATTACGTAGCACATGTGACGTACACATAGCATGAAGTACGTACTCGTATATGTAACTACGTGAAGCTCTCGTAGGTATATTGAAGCACTATTTTCTGTGGGTGTGACTCACGTGCATGGCGCAGGTGCCGTCGCCTCCATCAGTGAAGGTGAACTCGAGGTCGTCCACGTAGCCGGCAGAAGGGGTCGTGTGGGTGCCCGTCACGACGTTACCATCGGTCGTCAGCACCTAATGGAAGGGAAATGGCCAGTTGGTTTTTAAAATTGTATTGTGGATAGTTAGAGCTCGGTCAGCGGCTTACCTCAAATGTTGTTTCATCACAAAAAGGCAGAACCGTCATGATTTTATAGAACAGGCACATCTTCCCTCCGTCCAGCATATCCGACAATTTATGCCGGCTCCCGGCATTTTCGTTTCCTGTACGGATCTCATTTTCTGTCTCATACAAACACTTTTCTCCGTCTACCTCACCTCATACACACACTTTTCTCGGTCCAGCTCACCTCATACAGACATTTTTCGCATTATCTCGCCCCATACAGCACTTTTCTCCTTATCTATCTCCCCTCATGCAAATACTTTTCTCTCCATCCATTTCTCCTCATACAGGTACTCTTCAGCCATCTATCTTACCTCATACAGGCACTTCTTCCTTATCTATCTCACCTCATACAGGCACTTTTCTCCGCCGTCAGCACAGCCCTCGGGGCCGGACCAGGCGTTCATCTGGTCAATGATGGCCTGCTTCGCCTCCTCGCAGGTCACGCCGAACGTCCTGGGGTCGGCGAGGTGATCACCACGTTATAAGCAAGCCTCTGTCGCCAATTCTATCTCATCCGCTGGATTATCAGCATGCTTCAATTTATTGTCTGATTGTAGCAGTTTTCAAGTGTCGTTAAAATCCTGATATCCTTAGCAATTAGCACCAATTCTTCCTAAATCACGCTTAGGTTCAACATTTAACAGCTTGATTTGAAGGAGCACGATATACCTAAATGCTAAAATCGGTGCACGGTATACCTTCTTCTGAATGACTGAATAAGTGGTACATTACGGTCATCCCTATAGTTGCCGATGTAAATACGCTTATGTGCTTACCAGTCGGCCTTGCAGGAGGCGTGCAGGGGGTACTGGGCAGCCGAGGCCGCAGCCACCATCGAGAACAGAACAGCGAACTGCATCGCGAAACTCGACAAACAAATGAACCTCGGTAACGCTTCACAAGACTGCAGTGCGGACGGTGTGCTGGGCGGCGTTTTAACGGAGCCCTTATCGGGGCAGCAGTATCGGATGTGTGTGGGATTCTCAGGGGCCGTGAGAGGGACCGCCTGCACTGCGGCAGGTCACCGAGCCTGCTGCCGGAAAGCTCCCGAGTCGTCTCCAAGAAAAGCTTAGTGAGGCCAGATAAGAGGACCCATTGCCCCAATTCACTTGCGCCACAAAAGGAAATTAAGTCATTGTTTTAGAACTGCGTTTGAGGTTATGTAATAAAACGTTGTGTTCCGGGCTGACACCAATTCTCTGGTGCTGCTGACGAATTACCTGTCTATGTAGAACGCCATTTAATTACCTGATTGCTTTGTAGGCCTTAGGTAGGCCTTAGATTCTGTCTTATGCCAGCTAAATCGCCTAATCGTATCCACAGTTACGAATGCGGCACTATAAACATACGAGTATACACAAAAAAACTACACGGCAAAAGCGAAAATCAGTAATTATTTTCTTTCAGGTTTATTAGCTCAGTCATCATTCCCCTCAGAACCAAACAGTTGTCGCTAACAAAAATTGTAGAAACATGCAGTATTATTGGCCGGTAGCCTGACTTTTGAGGCTAAATGCCTAAATCGACGGGTGCGGGATGTCGGCTTTTCCCTACTTGAGCGCTACCGAAACCGTGCTGTGGTGTTAACTCCAGAACTTTACAGACACGATTGCCCTTTTTTCAAATTTGTAATGAGGATGACGAAACGCGTCACCCGTCTGACCGGCGACTTTCCAATAGGATCTCGCTTGCATAATCGAAGGGAGGACTACTGCCGCTCTCTGGCTTGTTTGTTTGTTTTGCTAGGAGCAAACCCTTTTAAAACTAAGCCATTAAAGAGCTACGAGATTTTAGGATAGGGCGTAGACATTGGGCTGTGCGGGACACCGACAGTGTTTCTTTGTTTTGTTTGCATTGTTGGGTTAGGCTCTTTCGGTCTATCGAGACCATTGCAGAGCCGGGAGAATGATGGGAATTAGGGGGAGACATTGGTCTGGGCGGGCACCCTGGTGAGTCATCGGGGCTGAACACATCCAGTGGGCAGGCCACCCAGCCACCATAACACTCACCACACCCGGTTACGGGTGTGCTCCTACGGGAACTTTACTTCCAGCATGGGATATAAAGTTCCCTGTCCAGCCCGGAACAGGGGTTGAGCCGTGGTGGAGAAGGATTTGATTTTCCTGAAGGTGGAATTGTGGAAACGACGGAAAGGAGAACCAAAAGTGGTCCTGGTCCATGAAGGCGAGACCGTCCCGGTGGAACCGCATTGCCCCGTTAGGACAGTCAGCCCACCTCCCATACGGACTACGGTCACCCCGGAGATAATCTTAACGGGCCCTGGTGTGGACCAGGGACCTGACCTCATCCACCAGTTGCCAAGTGGGGTGACCGTCAGCCCAGAAAGGGAGCAGGTCCGGAGGATGCAGATGGGTTTGTCCTGGGGGTGGCGAGTAGGTACGGTAAACGGTTGCAATATCGCTCCCTGGCTTTCGTTTTTGTTTTATTTAGGTTAGGCCCTTTCGGTCTGACAAGACCATTTCAGAGCCGGGAGGATGATAGGAATTGGAGGGAGACGTTGGTCTGCCGCTCCAAGGGAGCAGCCCGCATGAGAACTCTTCACATTTACCATGGCCTTGCATTTACCAACAATATAGTTTACTCTTCTATCGACAGATGTCGCTATCATACAGACTCCGTGTGCTGTTATTTGGTAAGTGCTGCCACCTACACGCCTCCACATCCTATGCGTCACAACTGCCGCAATTGTTGCCGGGCGCTGTGTTCGATCAGGATGTGGTGGTGGGTTTTTGTGTGAAATTAATGCAAAATTAATTAAAATCAAAATTCAAGTGAAATACGCGCGTAGAAGTCAGGTGCGTTGCATAATATTTCTGTGTGTGCTTTATATCTCTGCGTTAGATTACATAGGGCCTTGGTAAGATATATGTCAAATACTTTTGGATGAGGTGAGGTTAGACGCGTTAGACCCTTTTCATTTTGGTTATTTCGTTTTGTGATGGGGCGAAGACTCTGAGCAACGGAGTCTGTTTTTTACTGAGGCTGACGACTCAGTAAAAAAAAAGAATATCAATATAGGTGTAATCGGAGGACTGTCCTGGATGCATCGTTGCCAGCAAGTTCACATTATCTTTTTGTATATTGCTAAGTGACTGGCTTTTAAATAGACACAGTGTGTCCAAAATTGTAATGATGCGGGGGAATCCGCCCATAATGAAAAGTATAATGACATCCTAAAAATACAAATAAAAACATCCACCCAGCAGTCACGACTCATAATAACAACCTCCAACCCAAACTGAAACATCTAGGAGCAAGAGAAACACAAACCTCGCAAACTCTTACAACACGCCAAGACAACCATTCAAATACCCCAAATATTCAAATATATGACCCAACTTAAACCTTATTTAATATCCCGAATATCAGAATGCCTTCAAAGTTTTATCAGTATTTAATATTTCTACATCATTTTCTTGTGACATAAAAAGGGTCGAAGTCAGGTTTTATTAAAATAACGACATCCTTTCAGGCCTTTTTTTCTACATCCTCCCCTAACGTAAAATGAATTTAGCCACACTGAATAGACACCACCAAGGATGTCAGAAATTTTATAAACGTAGCACTCGGAACACAAGTTTAAAGGAAATAGTTCACTTTTAACATGGGGTTTTGAACTGGAATAGCAGTTTCGTAGCTTGATCTGAGACTAGCACAAATCAGGAGCTTTTAAGGCTCAATGATCACCCTAGACGAAGATATTCCATTTCTCGTTCCGAAAAGAGTGCCTTGCAGAGGAATGTGTGCCTTGCACAGGAATGCAGCCACGTCATCGTCAGCCAATCAGCGTGCTGCTTACAGCCAATGCAGTATGCGTAGGTTTGAACTACGCGATATGATTGGTCAACGCGTAATAAGCTTCCGCGTCAAACATTATTTTACATAGAATATAGTTTGTCCTATATTAAAATATAGAAAAAAAATTGTTTTTACAGAAAGGTTTTATTTTATTTCATGATCATTTTGAGCATAAAAAATCATAAATCAATAGCAAAATACTAATTTCAGGAAAGTGAACTGTTTCCTTTAACCCCACTGACTGACCACTGGCACAAGCCAACTTTACCCATAGAAAGGAGGCTGAACTTGTGGGAGAATTAGAAATACAATTACCTGCTACCTCAACCTGTGGGAGACTAAGAAAACTAAACAAACCTGCATCTCAGGTTTCAGGTTTGTGATAAGACAATTTTTAATTAGGTAAATTCTGTAGGTTTCAGCTTATTCCAGATGCCTAGGTATGATATGAGAACTGAGAACAGCTGGAAAAATAACACTTGATGATTTATTTGTTTGACAAGAGCCTGTTTTTCCTCTGCATATCATTTTGTGATCATCTCAATTCAATCTGTGATCAATTGTGATCATCTGTACCAACAGAATCATTGAAATGTGTTCTGAAATGTGTCCTTATTCATCATGCCTACCTACCTATTTTATATAGCTGCTGCTGATTCAGTGAAGGAAGGAGAGCTATGATGTCTGATGGTCTCAAACACTGCAGTATGCTGCCTGCTGGACTGATTTTACCTACTAATCAGTTTGTAGTTTATCAGTCTACTAATCATCACTAGCAAATGCTTGAGTGTATTCAATATTTTTGCTCAGTGTTAACAAATTAACAAACCACTATGCTTAAAATGATTATGAACACCTACACTATGTATAATGCTTTAAGGGTAGTTAGTTGGAATTTACTTTATCTCCTTTTCAACACACCTTTGGGCGCCTTGGCTCTCCAATGGAATGAATAGGTTGCTGATATTGTAGTTTGATACATTTGTTTTTTAGGGCAGCCTTCTCACGACAAGAACATATGCCACATGATAATATGCTTTATTACTCAACTCATGGTTACTTCATTGGATGATTCGTTACCAGGTTTCAGCTTCATAACCATGTAATTGTGATGCTCTGTCCACAGACATCTGAGGAGTCTGCCGGTGCCCGTCCCCCTCCACCCCCCACCGGCCGGCCGCCATGTCCATGGAGAGTGGGTCGGCCTCTCTGCTGGCCGACCTGTCCGCCGGCGGCGACGACCTGATGCCGGCCGTCCGGCAGTCGCGCGGCTTCATCGAGCCGGAGCAGGAGCCGGCTCCGGCGCCGGTCGTGGCGCAGACGGCCGAGCCCGCCGAGCCGGAGCCGACCGCCGCCGCGCTGCCGGCGCTCGGCGACGGCGCCGCCACGTGCGCCGAGCGTCTGGAGCTGCTGGGAATGCTGCTGGCCAGCCCATGTCCGAGCTCGACCATCACTGCGCCGCCGGAGCGGCTGCAGCTGCCGCTGCCGGCCGACGGCTTCATGTGCGACCAGTGCGGCGACAGGTGCGTACCGATGGGGTCTAACGGCAGAGGCTGGGCTAGGGGTGGCGTGCTGCTCGGGAGTTTTTGAAGGTTTTTGCAGTAATAGTAGATCGCTGCAATGCTACTCGAAGCACTGGAGACTTGTAAGCTTCAATGTGAGTTAGGTATGCAGTATAATTTTGAGCTTTAAGCTACATTTTCCGGTCGGTGATAGCTCAGTCGGTAGAGCGTTAGACTCCTCGTGGTAAGAGCACGCGTTCCTGGTTATAACAGTCCGGGTTCGAAGCGTGATGGGCGTTTGACGTTAATGAACCTCCTGACAGGTATGGTTGCGGCTGATGGCAGGCTGTAGCCAGGCGAAGTCAGAGAGGGAACCGGTCGTACGCGGCTATGTGCGCACGTTAAACTTTCGACTCCAAATTCTGCCATAGAACCGCAATGGCGCGATCGGAGGGTAGAGGACAGGGTCAACGCAACAAGCTTCGCTTAGCGGGGGTCTGTCCTTGCAGATCCTTCCTTTCAAAAGGTTCGGACTAAATTTAAAAAAAATCGTTTTCCATAAGCCGTAAGCCATGAAAAGAAATCACCGGCCGACTACTTTAGTCAGTTGCCTTGTGACGCCCCAGTTTCTGTACCGGCTGGGTCTACCAGTGACGTTTTACTCTCCCTGTTCTGTTCAGGTTCGTACTGCCGGGCAGTCTGGCGCAGCACCAGCAGCGGCGCTCGATGCGAGTCACCCTCAACTGCCCCATGTGCCAGGCGCTGGTGGTGTTCGACAACAAGTGCCAGCTGCTCGGTGGGTGACGATGACACCGCTGTTTAGCGTTGAATGTCTGGTCGGGTTCAGTTTGCTGGGTTGCTAACTTGGTTATAACTGATTGATGGCTGTCATTTTGTATTTGTTGGAAGGTTATTTTGGTTAGATTTGAGGTTGTTCAGTGGTTTTCGTGATCTGATTTTACAAAGTAGGTATTTTGGATGATTTTGATACTAGTCGACTGACAAGTAAGACCTTCCCTGACACTCTACCTCTCTCCCCTACAGAGCACCTGGACGCACACAAGATTGATCCCGTCTCGATCGACCCGGCTTTAATAGACGCCTCAGCACTAAGTGCCGCCGAGCTGGGGATCGTTCCGCCTACCCCAGCTGCTACCCCCGCTCCCGCCCCCGCCGCAGCCTCCCCCGGTGCAGCCAAACGGCCGGCCAAGGCGCAGGGCGTCAACAAAATCGTCAGGTAGGTCTGGGGAGCTGGTGTGACGGTCAGCTGAGAGATGCTGGTTGTTAGACTCTCAGGAGCCGTTTGTTAGCGGTCTGCTAAGATGACGCGCTCCCAGGCCGCCTGTTTATTATTATTATTATTATTATTGTTTATTCAGCATCGTCATGCGACAAAAAGATACATACCCCTCCCCCTTACACACACAAACACACACTAAACCAGCATTAAGGACTAGGAGGTCAGTAGCCGAACAGGCGCCGCGAGGCCTGACAGTTTAATCTAGAGGACGCTGCCGTTCTGCTGCTGTTGAGAGGGGCGCGTTTGGGTTTGCCCTGCTTCCTTGTCTTCGATGTTTTGCTTTTGTGCCTAACTATTGTGCGGCAATGCACTGATGGGAGATGTCGCTTGTATGTATCTGCTGTATCCCACATCGATGCGTGTTTAGGCGTCTATTCGCCGTCTGTTGATATATCAGCTGACACCCCGTTTGTGTGTGTTCAGGTCGTCCCCGATGTACCAGCTGACACCTCGTCTGTGTGTGTTGTAGCTGTATCAGCTGACACCCCGTTTGTGTGTGTGTATGTGTGCAGGCCCTCACTGATGTATCAGCTGACACCTCGTTTGTGTGTGTTGTAGCTGGGGCATTCCACGATAGATCGTACCAGGCCCGTCACCCTCATCTCTCAGATTTGAATGAAAATCGGTCCTAGGGGTAATCATAGGCCCCAAAGACGCCTGGCAAAATATCAGACTTCTCAGATCAATACTTTTTGAGTTATATTGCATTACATTTTTTAACTTCGGTTTGTAACGGTGAGTTTGATGGCCTATAACTCAAGAACGGGTTAAGCAACCAACAAAAAGTAAACAACACTAAGCTTGCGATGAATCAAAAATTAATATTACTCTTTAAAAATTCCAAAGAAAAATTTCATTGTTGAGCAAAAACCTTAATCTTTTTTCATTTGCCTCTAATGACTTTTGGGACCAAAATTTTTCACATTTTTATTTTTTTCAAAATAAACTTCATGTCATTCCAAATCGACATGCAGAAAATTAGAAAGGTGTTCTTTCTATAAGTTCCTCATTTTCCCGCAAACAAAAAGGGTTTCGGAGGGGTTGACACGACCCCAGCACGCCGTTTCGCTTCTAATAGAGCTAGAGCCTCGCGGAAAAAACAAGCGTAAGTGCCGTTACAAGTCGCAGCGATTGGCACCCGATTTTAAGGTCTCAGGTTAACCGGTAGCGTCTGAGGTCAGGTCAAGTGACTGAAGTTACGAGTTCGGTTTTTAGTAAATAACTTCGCAAAAAAATGGCCGCAGAGCCGCGATTTTGGCATCATTGTGTTCGCCTAGCTCAGGTGCATCAAATGGTATACTTTTTGCTAGGGTGAGGTCAACTTAAGTAGTTGACCTCGGGTCAAGGTCAGGTCAGAGCCCCTCAGGTCACGAAGCTGGGCAAAGGGTATCATATGGCATATCATTAGATTCGGAAGGTCTTCCCGAGTCCATTGGTGGCCTTCCCGACTCTCTAGCTCCATTTGATCGGGAGTTATTGACGAAAAACTCGTACGACCCTAATGACGTCATAAATGACGTCACGCAAGGTTAATAATGCAAAAGTGAAGCATTGGACTTTGCAAGGAGTGCATGAAATCATGATACCAAGTACGTGAGATAGTTTTAGATCATTCTCGGCGCCAAAATAACACTCCCCATTGATTTATAACAGTGATGTCACGTGACCGACCTGACCTCATGTAACCTTAAAAAATTCCCAGATATACAAGTTGTGAGACCTCTGGAGGACACCGTGTATGCGTCCTGTAACTTTTATCTCGGACAGCTATGGTCATTGGCGTCCAAAACAATGTCAGGACCAAACAGCCTTTTTCACCCTCGCGCTTATAGGAAAGAGGGTTGGATGAACCCTCTTTTCACTTTTTTTCAGATGACTCAGACTTCAACTGAAATTTCAGTAACCCGTGATGTCATTAGGCAGCTTTACCACCTTATTTGTAAGCTCCCATCCCGAAATCACTATTCGAAACCGTTATCGTGCCGTAAAATAAATACATTTATAGAAAGAACACCTTCCTAATTTTTTGCATACTTCTTAACAATAAGCCAAATATTTTTTTAAAGAAATAAAAATTCAAAAATATTTGGTCCCAAAGTCCAAAAAATACAAATGAAAGAAAACTCGATATGGCATATAGCAAAAATAGCGTATTTTTCGAAATTTCAAAAATACATATTTATCTCTGTTTCATTGCAAGTTCAATGTTATATAACATTTGGCATTTGAATAACCCGTCTTAGAGTTACAGCCCGCCAAACTTAGCGCTGCAAACTGCAAAGCAAGATCCAAAAAATGTTATACACCATAACTCAAAAAATACTTATCTGATAAGCCTGAAATTGTTACAGATGGATTCAGAGCCCCTGATTACCCCTGAGACCAATTCTCGTCAAATTCCGAGAGATGAGGGTGTCAAATTGGAAAAAAGTGGTACGATCTATCGTGGAATGCCCCAGCTGTATCAGCTGACACCTCGTTTGTGTGTCTGCAGGCCGTCACCGATGAGCTGCCCGATGTGTAACCAGCTGTGCTCCACGCTGACGCTGGGGGAGCACCTGTGTCCCGAGCCGGAGGATGAGCTCACACCGCTGCCGGCGCCGCCGCCGCGCTGCCCCGACTGTCAGCAGCCCTGCGCCACCGAGTGCTCCATGATGGCACACCAGGGCCTGCACAAGCCCGACCTGTGGCCCTACCCGTACGTGTGCCCCGAGTGCGGCGTCAAAATACTCGGCACGCACGACCAGGCGCTGCAGCACGTGGTGGCCGGCTGTCTGCACATGACGCGCGATGTGAAGATTTGCTGCTCCATCTGCCGCGAGGAGCTGGAGGACGCCAAGACGCACATGGTGCAGGCGCACGTGCAGAAGCTGTACAAGTGCCGCCGCTGTCCGCTGGCGTTCGAGTCCGCCAACGGGTTTAACTCGCACCTGCTGGAGAAACACGGTGGGGTACTGATAGCTGGCGAGTCGCCGTTCATGTCCATCCTCAAGTGCCCGTTCTGTGCGGCTACTTTTAACAACGCCAACGCGCTCAAGGAGCACATGGGCTCGCGGAAGCACGGCGAGCGAGTGCTACAACAGGTGAGCTTCGTGTTTCGCTGTCCCGAGTGCGAGCTTGACTTCTCGGTCAAGTCGGAGCTGGCGAAGCACCTTGCCAAGCAGCACCCTGACTTTAAGCCGGTGAGCATGATCCTCCCTCTGCGCTCGACGGAGCCGCCGCCGCCGCCGCCTCCGTCTCGCTTAATGGGCCGGCCGCGAAACACCTCCGACACGCCTACTCGCTCTCAGCGCGGCCCGGTCGTCTACGCCTGCGGCATCTGCCACACCGACTTCAAACGTAAACCCGACTACACCGAGCACGCGCGCATGCACCTGCGCGACGGCGTGCCCATCTGCCTGCTGTGCAACACACGCTTCGGCACCATGCAGATGCTCAAGAACCATCTGAACGACCACGCGTCGGAGCCAGGCCGCGACAGGTGCGGCCTCTGCTACGCCAAGCTGAACACGGTGGCGTCTCTGCAGTACCATCTGGAGGGGGAGCACGGCATGCGCACGTTCGACTGTGTGCGCTGCAGCATGTCCTTTGAGCGTCTGACGGACCTGAACCGACACAACTTCTCCGTCCACCGCAGCAGCGGCCGGGGCGTGCGGCGGACGGGCGCCAACCAGCCGGTGCCGACCCCGGCCGCGCTGGCTCAGGCGGCCGCCGCCACCCGCTCGCCGGCGCTCTCCGTCAAGCGCGCCCCGCCGGTGAAGGATGAGATGCCGGCGAAGCGGCGGCGCGCGCCGGCCGTCCAGGACGAGCCGGAGATGCACCTTCAGTTGGAGGAGGAGGAGGAGGTAGACGAACCGCAGCCGCGCACTGACGGTGAGACACTGGAGGAGATCGCCAACTTCGTGGCCGCCGGCGACGGCGAGCGGTCGGCGCAGTTTGTGGTTGAGGAGGAACCGGTGGCTGGGGAGACGGAGGAAGTGATCGAGCTCGAGCTGAACGAGGGAGAGATCACGGCTAAACAGGTGGACGCGTTCGGCGCGGAGACAGCGCTGCCGGCTACAGAGGAGGCTGAGTACATCATGCCGGACCTGGACGGCGCCGGCACACCGCATCGGCCCAGCGAGACAGAAGAGATGCTCGACATCAAGCCCAACATAGCGGCGGCGCATGCGCAGTAGGCGCGCGACGGGAGTGTGAGGCATAGTCTGAGGAGGGAGTACGCAGTGAGGGAGAGAAGGATGTAGAAGAATGTCCACGGGGGGAGAGAAGGATGTCAGTTTTCATCATCCAACATTTGCACATAATACTGGACTGGGAGTAGGGTAATCCCCTACTAACGATGTGTGTCTCGTCTGTTGTCCGATTTCCGTGACTCTGTAGGCTACAGAGGTAGAACGGGTGCTTTATGTGAACTATCTGAGTTTGAGTTAACTGGAAACAGACCTTCGAATTCCATTACTAAACACTGCTTGAGTTGCCCTTGCTTGCTAGGGCGTGGAAGATCGTGTTTTGCACACGCCGAACCGACCTAGCTCGGTGGACCGTGAGGACTTTGATACTTTGTAATGTTTTGCGCGCAAACGTCTGGTTTAGGCAGTGATGCGGCCCTGTAAAGCTGCCGGATGCATCGTTTTTACACATTTATCTGCTGTGGTGAACTTCGTATCAGCGAACATTCGTCGGTCGCTTTCGCGTGAATTGCTTTTTGGTGGATGTTTGAATGTATGTATTTGAATCGGATATCATATTAAGACCTTCACTCGACCTTACACCGTCACTTTGTACACCCATGGTACAAACCTGCCATTTTCCACGGAATACGTGAATACAAAATAAGGTACGTTTATTGTTTTGTCTGGAATGCCGCAATGCTACAGTAAAGTTAGTGGTTTGTTATATTGATTTTGCGATAAATGCAGCCTCGTTCTTGGCTAGCTACAGTCGAGATGAGCGAGTCTAGCCTGGCGGACCCGTTTGTTCGACTCTTGTATGACATCTTCTATTCTATCCAGTGCTCGACTGGAGGCAGGCACGGCTTGTCCCGTTAGGTGAGCGTGAGTTGTGCTTGACCTTTCGGAATCACACACGCTGTACACCTGCCTTGTTTTCTATGTCATCTGTCAAACTCTGACCCGCACGGAGCGTCCTAGGTCTTAAATGGCCGATAGTTTGTGATATCCCCACAGGAACATGAAGGAGTTGAACTATCTTCAATCATGTGCAAACAGGTGAAAATGTCAGGTGCCTTGCTGTCTCCTGCTCGTTTGTCGTCACTTCTGGTAGTAAAGGCCTTAGCTTGACCCGCAGTAACCTGAACGCGATGTCTGGGGGATACATGCAAACAAATCCGAGCCCTTTTTATCGGTGAGCGCCAGAACGACTAAACACTGCTGACCAGACGACGCATCCGTGTCATTTATTCCGAGTCCCTGTCCCCACATCCACGACCATTACTGTACAAATGCAGCGGCCACCGGCGCCGCCAGCAGCGCCCGCCTTTGTACTTTGAACACTAACTGGGCGGCCGGCTGGGCGCAGCCTCCCGCCGACACGCTGCAGGCGGCTGCCGGACACACGTAATGCCACACGACACGACTCGTTTGAGCGAGCACATCACCGTCACACACACTATACTCAACCAGTATCCAGTGAACGACTTTATACAGCGCGGTCCATATTGTCTGTCACAACCCAGAGTGCATCACCACAGCTGGCGGTTTACACGCAGGCATATGTTACACCACATCACGTGCACAGTTCATTTATGGAGACTGGGACAGGCGGAGACGGTCACCCGTCTCCCACACAAAATACCAGAGGCTATACAATACATGTCATCGTCTGTAAGACACGGATATACAGGCACACGTGCAACTACACATCACACTATCGAATAAACATCTGAGATTGGAAGACCCGCTCCTGACCGGTCAGCCGACTGTTTCTCACTCCCTCCCTCTCTCTCGGCCCGTCCTCTACCGTCCATAGGTGAGCGATCTCACCACCTGGCGGCCACCGTGCGAATCTCACCAACACCGGTGAGAACGTCCAGCGTTCTCATGAAGCGTGGTCTCAATAACACTGGGCAAACTCCTCGGGTCCTCAGTATTCACACCGAATTCGCCCGTCCGTCCGTGCGTGCGTTCCTTCTCGGACCATTCATTCCACCACTGAACTCGCTCACATGTTCACTAAATGCCCAGTCACAGTAAGTAACTTCCACGCACCCGTGCGTTCAGCGTCTCTCAGCGCGCGCGCAGTTCTGGCCATATCGCTACGCCGGCACGTCCCAGATCTCGTGCAGGAACGGTGGCAGCGTCTTCTGCTTCAGCTTCAGCGACCAGCAGAGCTCGGTGTTGAGCTTGCCCAGCTGGCGGACCTCGGTCAGCACGCTGAGCAGCTTGGCGAAGATGACGCCGGTCGGCGGCGGCCGCTGGAAGTCCACGTACGCCCTCAGTGCCTCCACGTAGATGGACTGGATTCGCTCCACCTTCTCTGGTTCCTGCAGCATGCATCGATCTGCGGATAGGGGGAGAAAAGCCAGAAAGGTCAGATGCTGACGTAAAGAGCTCCTGGTCGGACCGTCAAATGCATACGTGGGTTGGTGTAAAAAATTTACATACGGCTTATGTTTGTGTGACCATTTACGCCCAAACAAAAATAACTAACACATTCTGATGTGGTCTTGTAAAGGCCGTCCATTCGAGTATGCTGATTGCTAACAGATTAATCCGACTACGTGCGCTAGTGAAACAGCCTGAAGAAGACGGCAAGCTGAAGCTTGAAGCAGCAAACAAATTACCAAATTACCAAGCATTCGTCATCCCCACCATCATCTCACCGGAGAAAATGTCGATGGCGGTCAGCAGGGCGTACTCGGCGTTGTCCACCTTCATCTTGGACATCTTCTTGCAGAACTTGAAGTTCTTCTCGATGGTGGAGGCGTCCAGTCCGGCGCGCTCGTAGGCGGCGCGCGTGTACGGGTAGTTGTTGGCGAACACGATCGACTCAGTATCCTCGTCGTAGCGACGGGCGCAGCGCAGCATCATCACCTCGCTCGAACAGGCCTGTGGGGACGGGGGACGGTTAGATGGCGCTGGGGTAATGGTGAAACATGCATGGGTGTGAGGTGGGTGGACAAGACGCCGAAGGATAACAAGTATGGTGAATGTCAAGACATATTTGACTTGAGGACACAAAACCTTTAAAGTGCTTTGAGGCTATAATAGCTGGCGGCGACACCATCGGTCAAAACTGAGATGAAAAGCCTCGTGAATACTAAGATACAAGTCACAAGTGCAACCCAGGTTCATGACCCGCGATGACACTGTAGGTATGTTACGTTATCGGCACTTTGCAGCAGCGTGACGGCTCGACAACTGAATGGCTCAAACCAGTTGCCGTAATGAAACACGCAAAGCCAGATAAGGCGGTCATGACAGCATATCGTCACGCTATACTCATGTACTGGTCACATGGCTCGAACAATGTGAGTTCGTTCCAAGACGGAAGCCTAAACAAACATCAATGGCGTTACTCATGGGTCGCTCATTTAGAACGGAACACTTGTTCAGCGTATCCACATACACAATGCACACCACTTACCAGCAGCCGATGACTCTCAAACGCTAGATCATGGTTTGATTATTACTGTCCCAGTCTACCACTCAAGCCAGAACATGGCATGCATGGCATCCACGTCTAGAACTTAAACAGCAGCTCAGCACCCTTGCTGCTCATATCCCGGACATTGTCAATGCCAACACTGACTTGAGCAAAACCTACGCGATGAGTTGACCACCGTGACCCGACCTTGACACGGCCTCTACCTTGAGCAGTGTGATCTGGTCGTCCTTGAGCAGCCGGTCGAAGAAGGTGAGCCGCTTGCTGAACTCGACAATCAGCTTGATGGTGAGGATGGTCATCTCCGTGATACGACTCAGGTGCAGCTCCGAGTCATCGGCGGCCGACGCGTTCACCTGGGCCTGTAGACGGGCGGCGCCGCCACCGTCACACCACCGACTCCGACTCTGACTCACGAGCCTAACTCTGACTCGGGAGTTGTGTCGTGTTGGAGGCAGGTGTCGCCACCTCTGGCTGAGCGTCCTTGGATTGTGGAGTTGAGTGACTCCGTAGGACGCCAGGCCGGCCTGGATCAGAGTGATTGGTCCTCAGTCCTGTGTCTCATCCCGTTCACATGCCTCAGGCGCGTGCAGCGAAGATGGCGCCAGCAGCGCGGTGCAGGGACACCCGCAGAAAGGTTCATCAGACAGAGAAAGAGAGAGCCAAGGACCGCCACCGTAGCCCGAAAGCGACTACTGCTACCTGGCCACTGCCAGGGCACAAGCCGTGGATGCATGGTACAGATGAGGAGGTATACCTTACCGGAGCGGACGACGGTAGACGTGACTCCGTTCAACATCTACGTCTCCATGCTGGCGATGTTGGCGCGGAAGTTGTAAAAACTTCCCGAATAAACTAGGATTTACCAGTGTTGCTCCCTTTTCCTAAATGATTCTCCCAATATAACATGCGTCTCTGTGCGACGTTTGTACACAGATATAACATAAAATTGCATCTTTTCATATCACTGTTATCCAAGCTCGGACGCTATGGCATCGAAGGAAAATGTAGAGGAAACAATGTAAACAATCATCTCTGATTGAGCAAATGTTTGGCACTTGACTTACAGCTTCTGTGCCGCCTTTACTTCTCAGCACAACACACAACATGGCTCTGCAGCGCCGAGTTTTCCTCTGGCGCACAAGCAGTACTGACAAAACCGTTGTCATAATCCGGATAGATCGATCACACAGGTAAGAGCTGCTCCTGTCGCTACTCGCCACCGACAAGACACCTTTGAAAAGTCCAGCAGTCATCGACCGGCTCGACCAAGGTCACCCCTAAAAACTTCTTGTAACCAGTCCAGTTCCTCGCTTGACATTTGAAAAGGCAGTGATAACAATAAAACCAGATAAAATCATTTCATCTCCGAAGACACGATGCCATGTGATGCAGATGGCATTCGATGAGTAGCCAACACAGCGGTCAGCGGCGATGCACATATCGCGCACTGTCATCACAAATCAAACATGAGCTCTAGGCCGTCAGTGGCTAGTGATTGCCAGATAGTACACTGCTGAAGGATGGTCCCTTCCGTGGGCGTCAAGTTCAAGAAACATACCAATCGCCTATTTCTGTGATACATTACAAGTGTAACGCGTGGATAATACAAATAATCTAACAGATACTAACTAATGTATATTTGGCATCATAGCTCTAAATAGTAATCGGCTTATGTTCTACCCACGACCACATATGATTTACTGCACCGCAGTTTTGGCAGCCGTCAATTAAATGCCATTTATGAAGCTATAAATAGGTATCCCTAATCGAACTGCAATACATAACAAATTCAATCTGACATACAACATGCATTAAATCAATGCTCAACGTCCTGCTAATTGCCAGAAAAGCATTGTATTACTAACGTAAAAATTGCCAGTAAAAGACACCTCGTGAAGCACGTCGGAAACTGAAAACATGGCCTCCTGTCAACAAGCCGTTCCCCTGCGAAATATGACAGTGTATTTGTCGTTCGGTCCTCGGATTTAGCTCGTGAGATACAGAACTTTTACACGCGCCTTTCCAGACTGGTGGGAGGCGTTACCGCGGTGCAGAGACCAGTCAGGGTTTCCCAAGCCACCCGGCAACTGGCAACGCGCCAGCAGACTTGACAACAGCGGGCAGCAGAGCTGACGAAGTTTGTGCTGATAATCTGTTGTGGGAGAAGCCTACGACGAAGGCAGCTAGTCCAACACAGCTCCATTTGCGGAGTTAAG